AGTATAATCACCTCAACCTCCATAAGGACCGGCATTTGGGTATCAAACGGTTCGCGTGCACGTGGGAAGGGTGTGACTACCGGTGCGACAACAACCGGTATCTGTTAGAGCACAGGCGCACCCACACAAAGGAGAAGCCCCTGTCGTGTTCGTGGCCCGGCTGTGAGTACAGCGCCAATAGCCAGAGGGGTTTGATGTCTCACATGCGCACACATACGGGCGAAAAGCCGTATGAGTGTCCGTTTCCCGAATGCACTTTCCGCGCCTCCCAGTCCTTCGCATTGGTCGTACATAAGCGCAAACATACGGGAGAAAAGCCATACGTTTGCGCCGAAGGTATGCTCTATTGGGTGTAAAATAGCGATTGTTTTTATGTTTGTTTTATTTTTTTGCGGCCAAAGGTTGTGGTAAACAATTCTCATCGAACTCCGGCCTTTATAGTCACCGCAAGGGTTGTAACGATTATGCCGTTTATCTCGTAAAGAAAGGACGCAAAGCGTAATAAAGGCCACCAGAAGTGGACTTCAAAGTCGATGATTAAATTATAAGCCATTACTTCTGATTATTTAATTTTGTTGTAAATTATTTAAATTTAAATATAACTCAAAACATTTTATTTGTTTTATTTATTAATTACACACATCTACGGAAATGCAAACAATTTTGTTTAATGCATTTATTTATACCTTAATTCAAAAATTAAATCTATTATTTATTTTGATAACAAGTTATTTAATTTCCCAGTTTTAATGTATTAATGAAATAAATTATTAAAATAAATAATTTGTTTAATGATATATAAAATGATTAATAGTTAGATTTAATTGTCAATAAAATTACTAAAATTTGTCACAATTTATGAATGAATTCAAAGTTTGCGCTAAAAATGATGTTTACATCAAAAACACGTGACTTTTGTTGACAACACATTTGATGCCATTTCTCGGCTTAAGATCTGTTGGAAAGACAATCACTGCTGAAGACATCCACTCATCAGACAATTCATGGCTAACACAATGGCCTCAAGACATACACTCAACACACTTGAGGTCCGATTGAATGACATTTGGATCAGTTGTCAGAAAGAGATGATAGAAATGAGAGACAAAATCAAGAAATTGAGTGATTATGTGAAGACATCGGATCTAATGCTCGAAGAGATGTCAAAAATGAACGAAACTCTTGTGAATATCATTGAAGAGAATCGTCGCAACGGATCCAAGAGTCGAGACCTTCACAAACTTTATGTTGAGTTTACTGGACTCGAGGAATCGGTTGACCGACAAAAAGACAATTTACTCGCACTTAAGAAGTGTTTGAATGCAAACAATGGACACAATGTTATGGATTTGATCCACAGTTGGAGACGAGTGACCGAAACACGTGAACAATGCGTTCAAACACATGATGTAATTGTAAACAATATGAGTGCAGTCATACCAAATAGTGAACCAATTCGTGAGACAATAAGTGAAGACATTGCTGTTAAATGCGACGACAATGTCATAGACATCAACCTCTCTGACGATGACTATCAACCGGTGGACGAAGACATGGAGACAATGGACGCCAGAAGTGATGCCGTGAGTGATAGTGGAAGTGAATATACAGAAGGGGTTCACATCAAGAATGATGACAGCGATAGTGACTATGAAGTGAAACCTAAGCGTAAATCCCCGAAGAAAGCAAAGAAATTTCAGATTCAGAGCACATCCAAGTTCTTCGACGTAACCGATGAACAAATGGATCAATTAATACGTCCGCAACACAAGAAGAATGACTATTATCTGTGCGATGAAAGCGGGTGTATATTCAGTACTGCCGATAGG